CCTTGAATCCAAGCGGGTATGTGCCTGAAGTCGGAACATACTTCTTCTTGGCAGGTGGGATCACGCCGTCGCCCGGTGCAGCGTATGTTCGTATTTGCGAGGTGATGATACGGTTTGTGCGGGTGAGGAATCGCGGGTTGGGCCGTGTGAGGGACATCTTGCGATACGTAATGAGCAACCAATTGCACTGTGTGACGATGTTAGCTATGTTGACACTTGAGTCGTTGTTTGCGATTACCGCGATGACACAGGAACTCTCGCGGCAGCAACGGTCGAGGGGGCCCAATGCTGGGACCATACATACCTGATGATCTTTTTGTATCCCTTGTCTTGTCTGACTCACCCAATTGACGTCCTGCGCCCAATGAGTCTTGCGATGGAAGCTGCCCAAAAAGTTGGAGGATGCGCCTTCCCGCCGTTATCGCTGCCCGCCGATCCCCACGCGAGCCACGTTGAGTCAAAACCCCTGCGCGTCTAGAGCAGCAACGCGCCCAGCGTCGACCCCATCAAATAACACACGAGGATCGCGTACCGCGTCATCACAACCCGCTCCTTCTGCACCAGGTACGGCGCGACAATGAAGAAGATGGCTGCTGTGGGCAGGCTGGCTGGGATTGACATGCGCAGGCCGCGCGCGAGCTGGGCCAACAGGGCGTAGTAGCGGCTGTCCAGAGCCACGGGCACGAGGCTGTCGCCGCTGTAAAGTACCAGGAATTGGAAGACCGTCAACAGCAATGTTGAGACCAGCAATGCGTACTCGATGCCTTCGCGACGGCGCTGTTCCATGTTCCTGACATAGGCGTCAAGAGTGCGTTCGACGACAGGGAGTAGTGGCGTTTTCTCAGAAGTAAAGGACATCATGATTGTGGGTTTTTTGGATTTGGCGAATATGAGGTTTCTGGATTACGAGGCCTTCTACTTGTTATATGCCAGCCATGCGCTCGGGCGGTACACTCTTTGTTCGATACCAATGTTGGTAGTCTTGGAACGCGCCTTGTGAAACAAGCGGACCCCAGTTGTTTGACATGGCATCTTGGCCTCACTCTCGGCTTCGGTCTTGTTGCGGCAGCCTTGCTCCCTTAAGATTGAGGATGACGAATGGGGAGAGCCCCAGTACAACCCACTCTTTGCAGGCTGTGGCCATCAGCGTTGGCAAGGCATCGCTTGCTGAGAACCTAATATGTGAGCAGTCCCTCGTGCGTATCAGGATGTGTGGCGTAGCGTAAACTACATCTTGACAAGGTTCCGCTATGTTTGATCTTTCCAAAATAGCTACTAACATCAGATGTGATGTCTTGGCCAGAAAGCGGCTGTTTCGCCAACATTGCGTCACTACCTAGGTACCGAGGTGATCGTTTACCGAAATCGACAAGTCGTCATGTTCCGTTGAAACAGCATGTGTCTGTCCCGGCTACTCATCGCGTCTCAAGATAATCTGCCCTAGCAGCCTTGCCCATCAATATCACAAGTCCGTGAAAGATAATATAGAGGATGGGGATACTGAAAGCAATCATGGCATTTGACGTCAGCGGGTTTCATGTATGCAGGTAGCTTTCCCAAGGGTACAGTAAGACAAATCTTAGAGCGACACTCATAAGAGTACATACCTGAACGCTGCTGCACATGATACTCGTCATTTCTGATTTGCGCCGTGAACACAGTATCGCAGAAGCTGATTTTCTGCCACAATGCGACGATCCCTTCTCATCATATCACAGCTGTGGAATGCTGAAAGAGAGGACCCAAGGGTGCGATTACTACAAGGGCGGCCGAAGGGAGGAACACTAGCCGTGAGTAGTCTGCTAGAGCAACATCTCGCTATTGTGCAGATTGGCTTTGAAAGCGAGTGATGGGCCATGGGCTCCGTTTCCCCAAAAGACTGGCACTTTCCACGCTGTGTAGGCGCACATATATCAGCTCTCCATCTTTATGCATGCAGGTGCGACGAGAAACGTGGGGAAAGCTCGGGGATCATCTATGTGCTGTGTTTCAGCTAGCAAAAAACACCACGAGGAGATGTTCTCTGGCTGTTCGGATGTAAGAACGACGAACAAAAGACTGTCGAGTATATATGGGCGTTCGACAAGCCATGCTCAGTAGCCTTGTGAGAGGTACCTAGGCTGGAAGGACGAACAAAAAGCACTAGAAACAGCGCAAGTGCATTACGCTAGCCATTCCAAGATCCCAACCATCGGTGTTGAACTGTTAGACCTTCCGACTTCTTCGAGTATGTGGCAATTTGATATCAATCAGCGTGTTAGTCGTGTTGATCTCATGTTTGCGATTGTCTGAGCAAATGAGAAATGGACGGGATGATGGCATTTGTTCGTTTGGGTTTAGACGTTCGCATGTGCTGAGGGGAGTCGGTACTTCACGAGAATCTATGCGCGCAAAAGAAACCTTGGAAGACTTATCATGTTCATGCGGATGCAAGTGTCATCCTATGGACGGATTGATCCTGCCTGTACCAAGAGCTGTAAAATGCAGGTGTGAACCCCTCTTGTGTACTTACCGGCACAGGAAGGAACGACGCAGCAGTCATTGGCTTCACCATGTAGCAGTTGCATGCGAAATCGGGGCCGTAGGACTATGGTCGGGATAAATTGCGTCTCATCATAGACCACCGGGGGACCAAGCGGAACGCGCAAATCGATAATCATCCCGTGGTCAGTGTGGTGATTGTCTTCGAAAGCACGGTAGGCGGTGCTTGACCGTGCTTCCATTGTATTCTACAAAGGCACCTTTATCTGCTTGGTTTCAGGTTTGCGTTCGACATGCGATGATAGAGACACCTCGTCGGCATCACTAATTCACTCACTAAAAAAAGATATTGGACATAGCATGGCCATTTCTTCTACTTTCGTTCTTTACCATACCTAGAAACATTTCTTTACTTCGTTTTATCCAACACACATCGACACCCAACATGAGTCCTATCATTAATATACCCCATGTATGGGCACGCGCAAATACAGCAAGTCCAGTAATGTCAAATCTCGAACTCAACACTCCAAGCACAAGGCCCACGCGCCCTTCAGCGCAGTCAGCGTCGTTACCAAGAGCACTCGTCGTAGACTCGTCGACACCACCGCCGCCGCCAGCGGTCCCATCAGCCATGAAAAACGAAACACCATCTGCACACTCCATAGCACGAGGGGGACCAGGAATGACTCTCGGGACAAAGATTGGCCTTGGAATGATACCCGTCATGATCGCCTTTTGTGCGATATGTATCTTCACCGCATTCTGGTGGCGCAGACGAAAAGCGCGGAAAGCGAGGCAAACTCTGCAAACACCTCCTCCGGCCCCAGAGAAAGACTACATGATACGTTTGCCGTCATTAGACAGCACCCGAAGAGGAAGCAAGATTTTCAACATGTCCGCATTCACCACTCATGTCTCTGACGGCCGGCACAGAGAAGCCCAGGTTCTCGGTCAAAGCAGAGAGTACATTCGAATGGTGAATCAAGACCAAGAGGATGATGGCGCGACACCAAAGACACCCGCGCGCAGCATATCGGAGAAGGGTCGCTCCGGTCGAGACTCACCTATTGATGGGGCCAGCCCATTCCGATTAACACATAGCGAATTGGCCAGGAGGAGTTTGGGATCCGAGATATCAGAACTATGGCCCTCTCCACCACCCACAGCTTGGGTTCGGCGGCAAGGCATTCTGGATTCCCTACCGGAATCGCGATTTGGTCGGGATATGAGCCGGAGATCATCACAACGTAGTACCAACTCCAATTACAAGCGGATGAGCGACGCAAGCTCGGCCTTCTGAGTTGCTGGAGAGGCGTATTGGTTAATGGGTTGCGGGCAGGCGGATATCAAACATAGACTGGGTCTTCCCTTACGACTGGACGACTTGCGTAATGGTTCAAGTATACCCACAGGTTGCAGGCGTCCAGGTTGGGGACACCATCATTCACTCACTTTTCTCTGTATACAAGTTAACATTTGAATTATTATGTTCTGGTCAATAGACACACCCTATGCTTTTGTTGTGACCGTGTTCTCAAACTCATCTTGGCGGCCCATTCGGTATGAGCAGCCAACTTCAGTATCTTGCAGCAGTCTACCTGCTGACTGCGCCTGGTTCTGTCGTGCGCGCTTGATTGCGCTTCTTTGTATCCTCCCTGGCAGTATTCGTAGAGTGTAGACAGCGTCTATCGCTATTAACCAGAGTATGGGTCTGTCCTCGCAGTTTCTTCTCGTCATACTGCTCAGTCGCTGGAGGCGCACCCTCTGCAGCCGCAGTTTACGCATTGAATCTCCTGGTTCTCCTTGAGCTGATCCCTGGGGACACGGCAAATGCAGGTCGAGCGGAAGTTTGTCTCCTTGGTCTGGATGCAGCGCGTGCAGCATAGCTACTCACGAGTTAGTTTGATTCGAGCTAAGAGGTTGCCTGTGTAGAATTGACTTGCCTTCTCATAGCCTTGCTTCTTCCACTTGGCGATCAACATGGCATCTGCATAGCCGTTCTTAAGCAAATAGTCGTAGAGCTGCTTGCTGATGGCCTCCTTTTCGTAGTATAGGTCGTAGATGTAACGCGAGCGTTGGTGGGTGATTTGGAAGATGGGCCACGTCATTTCGTACTTCTTCTTGCCCTCGTGCGATGCGTTTTCGGCGTCCTTCATCTTGTTCTGGAATTCTAGGAGGGTGTCCTCGATGTCATCGAAGCCCTCCGGCGGGGCCTTGCGCGAGGCGCGTGCGGTACGGACTGGAGGCATGGCTGGGCTGGTTGTAGCAGGCCGAAATCTGCGAATTTGGCACGAGGTAGAATATCGATTATGGCGACAGATACGGTCGAGCTTGGAGTATTTTGTAAAGACGTTGTTGGTATCCGTGGTTGCGAGAGAGAAGCCTTCGATAACTTCGCGACTGCGCCGGGAGTAAAATCCGCGCTAACACCAGGTCTTGGCATTCCACTCCCGCGAGCCGCATCGTCACTCCAGCTCCGGCTTCGAGACGACTGGAAGCTCCCCAACACCGCCAACATGGTCATCAACCCCACCTACCTCGCTCAGCGCACGCGCTCTTGTTAGTCGAACACGCCCACGGAACATTGGAGGAACGCAAAGGCTAATGCGGGCACAGCGGTCAACTGGACTGATGCGAAGAAGAGGGTCATTCACAGCTACCGGGACTGGCTCCGGTCGGTACGTTGACTCCCGGAATCTACAAGTCCTTTTGGGGGAATTTGGGGATTGGATACACGTTGTGTACGGAAAGAGCTGGGACGAGGGAGGAAAGCGTGGGATGCGGAGAAGCGGGCAGCATGACCTTGAACCTGGACTGACGATGACTTTACAGGCTCCCGAAATCCAGACCATGTACTCGCTGAACATGCCCGTATCCACGCTTCGAACGAAAATGCGGCAGGAATTCGAGCGGCATCGATACGTGAATCAACTCAAAACAGTAGATGTGCTGCTGTTCAACAGTCATCAGGAGTTCCAGGTACACCACGGACCAACACGCTGTGATAGTGGGGAATGTACTGATAATCGTACAGGAAACACTGAACTTCTGGAAACAATTGTCACACGTTCTCAAATACTTCCGCGCGGAAGAGGATCCCAAGGCCCGGCTACCAAGCAACTTCATCAACGGCTTCTTGGAGGTATGCTCACTCTTTGCGCTAATACTCTCGCGGAATCATATGCTAATGCGCATGTATAGGGTCGCAACTGATTTGTCCATTACTACCAAAGTCCGGAGACAACCAAGAACAAAATTCGGTGTATATAGCTGAAGACAATACCATTTTCCTTTCCTTTCGCCAGTTGACCATGCTATCCTTGAACGCCAGCAATGCAATAATTCCGTAACTATAGGCGCGTTGCAGCCCTACTCTTCCATCTTGTTTACAAAGTCATCTCGTGCAATTGTGAACTTCTGCTCGACGACATCACACATGGCCATGAGATCTTCAAGGCCCTTCTCCAACACGGTGTATACACTGACACCATCTAGTGAAGTGTTAGTTGCAAGATTAACGTAGCTTCGCATGCAAGACCTACCGTATGTCTGGATGCGCAAGTTCATCTTGGCTTCTGAGGGATGCGGAATGGAGTAACCACAGAACTCGACATCAGGGCTATGGAACCATTAGCCGTTTCTCCATCTATGCGCTGAGAGGGTTGTCTTACTTTTTGTGGATGATGTATCTGAGCGCGTTGCCTAGCGTGTGGTCCTCGCCATCAAACTGGAAAGATGCTGCCGTCTCCGTTGCGCCGGACAGCTATGACAAATTAGGTACGCGTTTTTCTATCATTCAGATTTTACGTACGACTCTGATCCTGTCGCGATCGATCGCCGGATCAATCTCCTCATTGTTCTCGGAGGTAGGGTCCAAGATTGGGACCTGCGTGGGTTCTTCTGTTGCGCCTGGCATTTTGATCTTGTTCCTTGCTCTTAATGACTAGCTGTTGTCGGTTGAGATATAACGCGTTTAAATGACTGTGTCTGAGTGACGATCCTGTGTTTGAGACGTGACTTCGCGATATCAAAATTTTGGGGCGGACTTTGGTTCGGCGATTCGTTGGTTGGCCAGACTTTTCCAGCCCTATATTGCTTGGCGCCATGACGTGGGGCGTGGGGAAGCCCCTCTGCATCCGCTTCAACTTTTTGTCCCTCGACTTTGCCATCCATCATTGACCGCTCTACAAGCTCCCAACGCCCCCGAAGCCAGCCGAGATCAATCTTACGCACACGACCGCCACCATGCCGCGCGCCTGCTGCCTCAACCGCGATACGAACGAGACGAAGATCCAGGTCTCGATAAACATTGATGGCGGCGACCTCTCACCCTACGAGCACAGCGACTTCTGGGCGGCCTACGACAAGAAGAGTCTCAATGGTGATGGCGAGAAGGTAGACAAGGACCACGCTACCCAGAAGTCAACATCCCAGGAGATCTCCGTCGACACCGGCATCGGCTTCCTCGACCACATGATCCACGCCATGGCCAAGCACGCTGGCTGGAGTCTGCGCATACGGTGCAAGGGCGACCTTCACATTGACGACCACCACACGAGCGAAGACACATTCTTGGCGCTAGGCACCGCCTTCAAGAATGCGCTGCAGGGAAGCACGGGTCTGGCCCGCTTTGGACACGCATACGCACCGCTCGACGAGGCACTGTCACGGGCTGTCATCGACCTGTCGAACAGGCCATATAGTATCATCGAGCTGGGTCTCAAGCGGGAGAAGATCGGTGATCTGAGCTGCGAGATGATCCCGCACTGCCTCCAAAGCTTTGCGCAGGCGTCGGGCACCACTCTCCACGTTGACTGCATACGCGGTGACAACGATCACCACAGGGCAGAGAGTGCCTTTAAGGCGCTTGCTGTCGCTATCAGGCATGCGACAACCGTGGTGAAGCAGTGGGAGGGCGAGGTCAGGAGTACAAAGGGCGTGCTGTATTGAAATTGGGCAGATCATGAAAGAATATTGTCAGCTTAACCCTGGAATCATGCCTTGGAGCAATGCAAGGTACTGCCAAATGTACAGCAGAGCTGTAGTGATCGCTATATCCGTCTATCTGTGCATTAACACGTACATCGTTCGGTTGGTGAGTCATTTCCCAATTGATTTTGTCATCACCATGTTCTGCAGTCCACATGCTACAGCCACGTATCGACGCGGCAAGCTCCTGGAACTGGGGGTTCAGATTCCACTCCCCAGCTCTTGTAGGCGAAGGTGCTGTGAAGACTGTGAAATTTGATACTTATCGTATGGCGTATAGCATGCACATGTATACCGACTTGACGCTCGGCAGTATTTTCATACCGTACTGCATCTGCTACAACCCGTGCAGCATCGCCAAAGCTTTTACAGTATATGCAGAGAACAATAAGGTACATTTAGCTCTGAGGTAACACGGTGGCTCGGGAGAAATGGTGTCGGAAGGCTACGAATACGTTCGAAAAGGTGACCGTCAGCAGCCAAGTTATCGCTTCGAATATTCTCTTGTTACAACTGAAGTTCATTCATGAGCGAAGCTAGCCATGATTTATGCCATCCGAAATCATGCAACATGCTGTCGAAAAGGCCTTAATCGCACCCCTCTTCTAACAGCTTGAGATTCGTAGTTGCCTTGCCCAATCAATATCATTGCAACTTGTTCTTGCTCAGGTACTGATGGTAGCCACTCTGGTGCCGGCTTCATGGATTTTGCTAGACCCTCAACCCCTGTCAGTACGTGGTATAGAACTGCGGCAGCGGCAAGATGGAAAGATACAGTCTTGGTATCTGGTCTTTCCTGTCGATAGCCTGTCATGACACGTGTGAACGAAGGAATGACACGATTAACCTTCCCAGTGCGCTCGTCACAAGAATACCCGAGCCAATCCCATGTAGCGTGTATGTTAGCTCCATACTGAACGAGTAAATGTAGTATAGTTTCATATGTCCTCCCTGGTAGGCCAGTGCTGGAATGATAACAATCCAACACGTTTTCCAAGTAGCACATCCACGGGGTTGTGCCTTGGAAAGATTCGTTTGGATCGGCGCCATGATCGAGCAATCTCCGTATCACTTGGTAACGTCGACGGAATGAAGACGGATCCCCAAAAGTCCAGAGCAGAGACACTAGCAGAGGTGGCCAGGCTTTTGGCCCGGCCGTGATCCGGTTCGGATACTGTCGCAACATAAGCGACACATATTTGGGTGCGGAATAGGCGACAGCCACGGCGAATGCGTCGGGATAGGGCTCATCAGAGACACATGTCATGATGATATCTTTGAGCTTCAGTTCATGCGCGAGCGAAAGTTTAAGGAGCTCGTCAAGCTTAGACCAGTGTGATTCCATCTGCTCTTCCTCTGTCTGTTCAAAAATGTTCACCTGAAGTATCATTTCGGAGCAGAAATCGAATTCCAAATCGGGTTGAACCCTAGGTTGAACCCCATTGTTTCCAATCAGACCAAGCGTCCACGTAATAGATGTGCACACTTTGAAAGACGCAAGCCATGCTTGGGCATGAAGTTCAGGCATCCCGACTACCATGCAGGCTTCAGTCATGATCTGGTGTCTCATCTCATCTCTATCAAGGAGTTCTGCCAACGATCTGTGTGCCAATCCCACATATTCGTACTTCAGCTTTGACATCTCGTCTTCGACTGAAATGAACTCATCTCTCTCATCGCGCCGGCGAGTGGCCTCGAGTTGCAACAGCCCTCTACTGCGCGCGTTGAACCTTCTACGAACCGAGACCGCAAACGATGCAAAGTCTTCCGCATCTCTGAATTGTTCCAGGCTTGGAGCGTCTAAAATGTGTTTGCGGCTTTCATCGTCCAAGTAGTAATGTGTAAGGAGTCTCGCACGCGAGTCAATCTTGCATAGTAGAAGTGAGCGAGCGGTATTTCTGCGATACTCAGGCTCAATAGTTGACAGTATGTGCATGTACATTTCATCCAGTTCGCGGGGAAGACGCATCAGCCGCCCTTGTAGGTCAGAAACACGGTCCGCGTTACTCAACCCGTTGAGCAAAGAGTTGCATGCGAGGTAGACCCAAAGGAAGACTCCTTCCGCTGCGGAGGTGATATCTGCGATGAGGGTTGCATAGCCAGGATCCTGTGACACGAGCTGCGAAAATGAAGGGTGTCTGCTCAGCGTATCTTCGGTATATATTGTGATGTCCCTTGAGGTCAAGTCGTGTACGGGAATGCAGAAGTCTTTATCCTTCCCCAAATGAATCTCAAACTCGTTCAGAGGTCGGCTAGCCACACAAAGCTTTGCTGAGGGACATGTTTCGATGGCGCGAAGTAGACGTAGTAAGTCTTGTACATCCGGTGCCGAATTTTTGCGTATCTCTACACGATCGTCAAATTCGTCGAGACCATCGATGATGAACAACATAAATGTGTTGAAACTCGGCGCCAGGTTCAAAAGATCCTGGAAGCCGTTCCACAAAACGTCCTGTGGAAATTGAAAATCTGTCCCGGCGTGCGTCCATTCGCGTCGTGGAAAAACTTCCGGGATAAGGTGAGGGCATTCCTTGAGAGCCTGGTAGAGTATTGATTGCAACAATCCCCTGAATGAACGTTGCAAAATCGTTCCTTGTCTCCAGAGGTAACAGTCGATGACGAGCAATGAGCGCGATCCCAGCCAGGACTGACAATGCAATCTCAGATCCGGGTGAGTAGTAATGAACTGACCGATGCGAGGATATGAAGTTAGTGTACGAACCGGACATTCGATATATTCAAGAACTTACCTTAATCAAAGTGCTTTTCCCCGCACCGGGTTTTCCGTACACCCAGAACACGTTTCTGTTAGGATCGTCTAGCCGTAACCAGTTCTTGAATTTGTTTTTGTGAATAGATCCAAACAGGTCTCCAGTCCCATCGAAGATCCAACTAAACGTGTCTTCGTGCGCTCGCTTGACTTGATCGGCTCTACTCCTGAGTTCTGAGAAGTAGAGTGCGTGTAGACACTGCCTATTCGCCTGGGAATCTTGTTGATCTTTGAGCCATCGCTGTAACTCTACCACGAGCTCCGCTGTAGCGTTCGCGGTGTTTAAGTTATTTTCAGTTACTTTGCGAACCCTGTTCAGGTGCTGCTCGATGGTCTTCATGTCATGATCGATGGAGAAATTGTGTGACGCTATCTTATCGCCAAGGTGGTCCACATTGCGATCTATGTTCGGGATGCGGGTCATGACAATGTGCGCCTTGAGCTCTTCTGATAGTCGGTCAACTTTCGCCTGAGACTCGTACAGCTGGCGCTGCTTGCGCCGTGCTTTGAATGCTGCAGCCGAGGCATGAAGGAAGGTACGGGGACCCTTCAGTCGAAGCGAATCCAAGAGAGCTATGTGCTCGTTTATAGCGACCTCGCTTTGAACAGCGAGACTCTGGATAATGTCGCCGTTGTGATTCTGCTGCAGGTCCGCAACATCTCGACGTAGGATCTCCACGGCTGTACGTAGATCTTCGTGGTCTTTCGGTAAGCCGTTGCGAGAAGATTGGATCTCCTTTGCGGTTGCGATGATCTTTCGAGAGAGTTCGGCAATTTGTATAACATTACATGCCAACGAGAAGGCAGCCACACCCTCCATGGAGAAGCGACAGTAAAAGCGTGTTCAGAGATCGGAAGAACAATGGAGTTGTTCTGTGAATGCGCCGGTGTCTGCCAGGAATGTCCCACTGGAACGATAGATGTATTCTTGCTACTCATATGACAGCTGATTAGCAGTTGAGATTGTGGCTGCGGCACAGCATGAGGGGTCGGCACATCAAGCGTTTTGATACGGCAACAATCCTTGCAAGCTGCATTGTCGTCCGGCCTGCCACATAATATAGATAGGTTCGTATTTTCTGACCTGTACCGCTACGCAGTTTACTGTTGGCTTTGTGATTCCCAGTCACATGCTGGTGAAATCAGAGATGCTGATAACTTAATATACCCTCTTGTTCGAGTATCGCATCAATCAGTACGAGCTGCTTGATTGACGAGACTGGGGTACATTATTGGATGGCGGCACCGAGATACTACCGATTGGTATTTCCGAATGAGAGACTCGAAATTGTTTGTTTAGGCCTCTGTCCCTCACAATCTGTACGCGGATCTAGCAAGAGAGTCGAGCCCCTTCTTCGGATTTGAAGTAGCATGAAGTTGCGCAAACGTAGCGAGATGATTTGACGAACGTCCATCGGTTTCCCATAGCGAAAGCGGGACCACAGGAAGATGAGGTCCATTTTTTTGGTGCATGTGCTGCGCGTCGCAGCACCAGTCGTGCATGCGGGGGGACGTGTTACTGGCGGTGTCATCACACACGCGACTTCACCAAATGCGTCAATGCCTAGTGCCAGCAGAAGGCGCGCTGTGTGTTCATGTGGCTTCGAAAGTGGAGATGAGAGAAAAGGGGACGCTGCGATGCGACGCGCCTCGAGGTTGCAGGCAGGACTATGTGGAAGGACCAGTCGGCCTGCGCTAGCCCGAATGAGACCCGGAATAGAAGCCGCGTCAAACGAACACGGTCTCTCCAATACTTCTGAGGAAGTTTACCCTTATAACCACCTGGTATGGGGTTTAAAGACTCCATATCGAGAGTTCGTACTTCGACATAGACTCTCGCGCGCGTGGTGTTGGAAGTGAAGACGGTAGAAAGGTTATCAAGGCTTAGAGAACCGTGGCTGGTCCGTTTAACGATCAGCCTAAGCTTCTGGTCACGGATGGAACGATACTCAAAAAGCTGATGTTGTACTTTCATTGTGCTCAAGGATATCTTTAGTGGCTCAATGACGCCTGCAATGCAATAACACCTGAGTGAAACCAGGCTAATGTACAGAATAATAATGCTCAAAACCTGGAATAAATGTATGAGATGGGTGTGATCGAATTCTGGATCGGGAGACACATACCTTATTTCATAATTACCCGCTCTCGTCATGTAGCGCACCCACTTTACACTGCTGTAGTTGCTCTTCTCGAACACCTTCAAGTATCGCACAAGTAGCCCCGAACTGGTGAACATCAACAATGAGAAGCTCAGATTGAGCGGTGGTCGGGACCACGCCTTCTGGTTGGTCATACTGGTCAGGCTGGCCTCGGCACTCAGCACAAACTCGCTTTGCCCTGTGAATCTCGGTATCTTCCAGACGATGTTGTTGTGCTCCGGCTCGTACTTGGCTTTGCCTTGTGATGTCCGCTCGGTGATGCGCGCCGTGTTGAGAGGTGTTGGTATCCGCACGACAACGTTTGTCGCGAAAAGCTTGGAGCCATAGTTGGCGCGAATGGCGATGCTGTATTCGACCTTGGTTTTGCCAACCTCGTTGACAATGGCATGCACCTTGAAAGGCAGGTTGACGTTCTCAGTCGCTCGGTAGCGCATCAGCTCGAACTCGCCGTCGGGCGGAACAAAGGATATTATCCTGTCCGCATCGAACTTGCCCAGCTTCACGCATTGGTGGAATTGACAATCCTCCAACGTCACACTTCCCGCTGCTGCCCTTGTAGCCTTCGCGCCTGCCTTGTTTCCAGACGGTTGTTGTAGATGATCTTCGCCCAACGTTAGTCGGTCGTTGAGACCGAACTTGCACTCGGGTGTGCCCGAAAGATATGCGCGCATTATGATCTGTCCGTTCACGTCGGCTCGTAATACTGTTCCCGTCGCGGACATGAGCAAGTTGACGTCCTCGATGACATCGACGAAGGCTTCGTTCTTGCGGTACTTGATGTCGGCCCGCCGCCAGGAAAGGGCACCGGTTGCTTGCATTGTGATCTTCGAGGAGTCCTCCTGTGATTTTGTCAGCTGTTGTTGCTCTGGTCGCGCTCGATGTGACGTACCATTGCCCTTTCCGACTTGACACCTTCAGTTGTAATGTACATCTTCAACGTGTCTGTCTCTGTATTCTGTGGGTATCCAAAATCCAGAATCTCGTCCAGTAGCTCATAGACCAGTACGAAGTTGTTCTTTACGGCCTCCTCGTCGAACTTGCCGAAGTAAGCCTTCCCCAATCCCACCAAACGGTACAGAAACTCAAACACGAGCGCCGCATTGGCATTGCTCTTGGTCACGGCGACCAGGTATATGTTCTCGTGTTTGACATGGCTAAAGGTGGTGGAGCCAAGGGTGAGGATGGGCGAGCGTACTTGGGCGTTGGAGATGACCTGAATGCGGAAGACATCGGCAAGTCGCGGGCGGCAGTCGTTGCGGAAGGCGCGAAAGATGAGGTTCTCACCCTTCTGGTTGAAGATGAGAATTCCAGAGAGCATGGCAGCGACGTGGAAGGGGACAGCGGTTGTCGGCAGGGAATTGGCTGGCTTCGGCGTGTTGATGCTCGGAGCTCCACCCACCACGCCGCCGCGGGATTGAGCTTGGACCATCTCGCTTGTAGCGATTAGGGGTCTCAGGGACGGCTTGCATCCCGAGGTCCTCGCCGTAATCAGGGCACGCCATCCAAGTACATCAATCGAAGTAGCGATAATAGAGCTTCAGCAATCTCATCCGAAGTGTTACGATCAATTCTATCTATATTCAACGGCTAGTTGAATACCTATCTCAGACACACGCGCGCAGAGACAGGCTCTCCCTACCTGGAAATCGAGAGCAGCATTCGTTCACATCGATACGGAATGAGTACGACTCAGGCTGTGGATTCTTTGAAGGACCAAGTCCACCAAAGGCTGCTGTGGGAATGACCTTGTAGCGTCTCCAGACTAAATTCTACACCGTTCGCTCAACCGTCAGTAGTACCAGACCACGGCTTGAGCGTCGGAAGTTTCTGCGGATCCAGCTTTGCCATCAAAGCAGTGTACTCCTCCGCAGTAAAGCTTCTCTTTATCTCCTCCATCCGCATACCAATTTCATGACGCTGGTGATATAGGGTTGCGTATTCTTCCTCCAACGTGGTAAACTGATTAGACGCAGGTGTACTAGGGAACTCGCCTCGAGGCTCTGGCGTCTCTTCTGTCGATATACCTGACATTGGACTACTGCGTCGTCATTATGCCTTCCGGGCAAATGCTCTCAAAATGTTACTTACCGCATACTTGACCATTGTCGTGATTCGACAGTAGTCGGTACCAAACCTGGCGACTTCGACATGCTCTCCGGTCGATTCGGCTTTCGAGACCTCATTTGGTCTTCGAATTGATCTCCTAAGCTTGGCTGAGGAGGAAAGAAAGCTCTGGAACCTTGCGCATATGGCTGTGTTGTAGGGAAAGGCGTTGCACCGTAGTCACCGGGCTGAGGTGCTTGCCCATACCCAGAATACGCTGGTCCCGATGTGATATGAGGACTACCAAAGAATGAATCTGAATGGGGATGTGGGCGGAGGTCATCCGGTATCGTAGGACATTGAGCTTCCGTACGCCGTGGATCTTGGACAAAGTTAGGACGGTCTCGAATGTTTCGTAGGGACTCCCCCTCACTTTTGCCGCGCCCGGTCATATTTTCGTTATACTTTTCCACCTTGGGGTTGAGCGTTCTGTGGATGAGCGGCTGCGAACTGTCGCTTTCAGGGGTAGAGGGCGCCGCAGTGGTAGAGCTCGCACGGGTCTGCCCTTGGAGGGCTTTCATTGCCTTGGCTTGCTTCTATAAATGAAAGAAATCATTACAGGCGGCACGTTATACTTCCTTCATTTCTGAATGACTATGTATTTGTCATTGAAATCGCTCGCTCGCTTGCATTAGCTCACGTGCGGTAAAGTCTACAACATCGCAATATGCGAACAACTGAGGATTTGGTCCACTCGATTTCTAATATTTGCGCGTATGGACTGGAAGATAATACTGCCACCGAAGTGTGCGCTTTACATAACATCGAGCGCCTCCAACAACCCGGAGATCTCCTCTACAACTTCCTCAACGCACTGTCCAGCATCAACAGGTACCACATCGGTCTCTGATACATCAGCCGTCTCCCAGATGGCCATTTGGCTTTCCACCATATTCTCTTTCATGTAATGGCCACCTCTTCCCTTCGTTCGACGCACAAGCTCTTCCGGCTCGACTTGCAAGTCCACAAAAACAACCTGTATCTTTTCATCCACCAAAATCCGGAACTCGTCCCGGTATGATTTCTTCAAAGCCGAACAAGAGACTAATACGCGCTCGTGGTCTTCCTTGGTCACGGTATCGAGCGCTCGCTGTCTAACGCGCGCGAGCCAAGGGGCGCGAGCGACGTCATTGAGGGGAGTACCGGCAGCCATCGATACAATGGCTTCTTCGGTGTGTAGTTCATCGCCCTCAATATAAGGTGCTTTGAAATGAGCGCCGAGACGTCGTGCGACAGTGCTTTTCCCGCTACCACAAGGCCCGGCAACTACAACGACAACGCGTCTCATCGGCTTCGCGACTGAAGTAGTACGTATCTGCCAGGCAGCACTCTGGAATTGTCTGACAAATGTCTTCACAAAGGCTACATCCAATACAGGCGCTGTATCAAGAGAAGGCGAAAAAGATCGGGCGACGGTTGTATCGTATGTACGCGAAGGACCGAAAACATCTTTGTCGTACTTGGATGCGAAGAAGTCGGCAAGCTTGATGGGTGGGTTCGCTACCGCATCTTGATTGGACTCGCGAAGCCTGCGCACCCACTCCTTGGGCTCAAC